AGAGTGTCATGGCGTCACAGCTCACAGCAACCTCAAACTCTTGGGCTTAAGTGATTCTCTTGCCTCAGCCTCCCAAGTAGCTGGAACTACAGGTGCCCACCACAACGCCTGGCTATTTTTTTGTTGTAGTTGTCATTCTTGTTTGGCAGGCCCAGGCCGGGCTCAAATCCACCACCTTCAGTGTATGTGGCTGGTGCCTTACACACTGAGCTATGGGTACCGAGCCTCAAAGTAATTTTTTTAGAAGGATGGATGGAATCTCACCTACTAAGTGGCTAAAATTATTAAGACCAACAATGTATGTGTTGATAAAGATGGATAGCAAGTAAAACTCTTACAAACTGCTAATAGGAATGTAAATAGTATAAGCACTTTGAAAAATAGTTTGGCAGTTTCTTCACAGGTGAATTATGTACCACACATCCCAGCTATTCCATTTCTAGATATCTACTCAAGAGAAATGAAGGTATATGTCCACAGAAAAATTCTTCCACAAATCTTCATTGTAGCTTTTCTTAAAAGGACCCAAACTGAAAACAATTCAAATGGCTATTGATACACATATGAACAGACTGTGTCACAGGCATATAATAGAATAATAATCAACAATACAATCCAATCAAATATTGATACGCACAATACTATGGATGAATTTATAATTCATGTGATATAAAAGAAGCGACTGCTCCCGTGCCCCAAGAAAACAGTATGTATTTTATGATTTCATTTACATAAACTTCTACAAAATGGAAACTAATCTAAAATGATAAAACAACAGATCAGTGGACTCCCAAGGACTGGGGAGGTCAATAAATTACAAAGGGACACAAATTTTAAGAATAATGGATATTTCATTATCTTTGTTAACACTATCTTGGTTACAGTGACGACAGGTATGTACATGGAAAAAACCAACCAAATTTATACTTTAAATGTTTTATGTAGTATAATTATACATTGATAAAACACTAACCCGACTATAAAAAATAGAAAACCTTATTCTAAACTAGAATCCCCTCACAATGCATAAAAGCATAATGCACTGTGAAATTATAATCTTAAATTCCCTTTTAAAAATCAAGCAAGAAGATAATGGAACAAGATGATAAATAGCTAAAACGTTTCACTGCCTTACATTTCCAGTTTTGTAAGATAATGATAATGCTTACAGAATAGTTACCTTTGTTGTATAAATAGAGCTACTAAAGATTCAGAAGACTTCTCGTGTTTTGCAAGTAATACTCGAAACTGGAATTAAATTCTAAATATTGTCACAACTTTCATGCATGTTGTTAAGAACACTAACAGCTATTTTACATATCTCCTACAGATAGGTGACTAATTTTATTTCCTTATTTTTTGACTTTCTTTTATCCTAGTGATCAGATAATTATAGATATATATGTTAAATTTTAAAAATACAGGCAAATAACAAACAAATTTTAAATACCAACAAATTTTAGAAAGAAAATTGCATCAAATAGTATTACCTTGAATATTATACTGATAATAATCAGGGTCTTCTGATTCTTCTTTTACTGTCACAGCTGCCATTTCCAGGGAAATGCCTGTACAAGTGAATGACGTTATCTGATTACATGTCTGGGCATTCAGTTGTATCATACAAGGAAAACCCCCTTCAGTCCTTCTCCCGATATATAGTAATGCATATGTATTTTAAACACTTGCAAAGGATAAAAGTTTGCTAGGTAGCAAGGAGTAAAAATTACCTGTAACTCCAATCAAGCCCCAAAAAATTTTTAATCATCATTTTAAAAAATTAATTTAATTTAATCATTATTAATATCCTGGATTAGCTAATTAGCAAAATTATTTCCTAATTTTTTCCTCCAACACAGTATCTTATCTTTCAAAGTGAAGAAAACCATTCATCTTCCATTTTCACTTAATACTAAAAATACATTTATAAACCATTGAAAAACAGTTGTAAACATTAGTTTTTATGATTCAATATTCCAGAGTAGAGATGGTATACTTTTAACCATTTCAGTAATGAGCTATATGGATTTTTAAAATTCTAATCAATCCCTTTTATTAGCAAGGGTACAAAGCAACTGCATAAAGTTTTGCCCATAATTGAGACAGATAATTTAAGTAGATCCTTGTGGTCAGATATAAAAGCATGCATATTGTAATAATTCTACTCATATGGAGGTCAAATAGGCATTATATTAAAAAATCTACCAAGTTAATGTTCTACATCTAGATGTAGATGTTAAGTTACAGAAGTGTCTACTATTTTCACTTACTGAGTTATAGACTTATATTTTGCATACTTTTCTTCATATTGGAGTTCAATCAACATTAAACAACTCTTCCTAGACAGCCTAACAGGTTAGATAACAGCAGCTGACGAAATGATACGCTAATTTCAGCATACAACTTCTGGTTTCCTATTGTGTATGTAAAAAAGTTAGAAGTCACCTCAGCACCTGTAGCTTAGCGCCAGTATGCACCAGGGCAAGCAGGTTCAAACCTGACCTGGGCCTACTAAACAATGACAAATGCAACAAAAAAACAGCTGAGCATTGCGGCGGGCATCGGTAATTCTAGCTACTTGGGAGGCTGAGGCAAGAGAATCGCTTAAGCCCAAGATTTGGAGGTTGCTATGAGCTGTGATGCCATAGCACTCTACGGAGGGCAACATAGTGAGACTCTGTCTCAAAAAAAGGAAAAAAAAAAATCAGAAGTCACTACTCATTCAACAGATAAAAAGGTAAAGAAACTAAAATACTAACGCCTCTTTTAGAGCTGAAAAAGAGATGTAGACACAAGGCAAACCACTGCCCCCAACACTAGAAACAGGTGAATACAGGAAGTAACAGCTTACACCCAGGAGCAGAGTCTCACAAGCAGAGTCAGTGCTGGGGCTAAAAGACGGGAACTGGAACTGATGAACTGCTGAGGCTACTATGGAGAAGTCCAGAGTGACCCAGCCATACACAGGGGAGCCCCCACACTTTTTGAGTGTTATGTATAGGGGTGCTACCAGATTTTCACATAAATCCCAGAGAAAAGTTCCTTCAAGCTTCTAGTAGAGGGAAGAAAAAAGAAATCATTTTCAAATAAGCCAGAGCATTCTACTCTTTTTCTGCCCTGAGAAAAACTTCTTAATCAGAGGCTAACTGACCTGGGGAGATGGGAAATGCTCAACTCCAGCCCACTCAAGCCTTTGGGTCCCAGGTTTGCAGGAAGAGAGACACTGAGAAGCATGGATGATGTTCACAATCCAGAGGCACAGGTTCACTGATATCATTATATGACTGCAGGTCCTAAACTCTGTCTTCCCCCATGTCTCAGGACTATATTACCCACAAAGAAGTTTAAGAAATACACAATGGTTGGGAATATAATGACTAAGAAATAAAACCATGATCATACCAATCCTATAATGAATTAAGCAGTAAGCTGGTATAATCAGGAGGCTGAGGCAGGAGGACCACTTGAGCCCAGGATTTGAGGTTGCAGTGAGCTATGATGGCACCACTGCACTACTCCCCAGACAAGAGAGTAAAAAGAAAAAGCAAGCATCTTAGGTAAAATTTAACAGGAGGTGTAGCTCAGTGGGTAGGGTGCCATTCACATACACCGAGGCTGGCAGGTTAGAACTCGGCCCTGGCGAGCTAAAACAATGATGACAACTGCAACAACAACAATAATAAAAGCCAGGCATTGTGGCAGGCACTTGTAGTCCCAACTATTGGGAGGGTGAGGCACAAGAATCACTTAAGCTCATGAGTTTGAGGTTGCTGTGAGCTATGATGCCACAGCATTCTACCAAGGGTGACAGCTTGAAACTCAGTCTCTAAAAATAAATGATAAATAAAAAAATCAATTTAACAATATGATAAAGGTAGAAAAAGGGAAGAAGCATCAGGAGTTAAGTTGTAAAATAATTATATGTTCCTTTTCCTTATCATAATAGATATAGCTATAGATCTATGAACCAAACATTAAATCTACAAGAAAGGCAGTGTGGTAGTGACAACAAAATAAGAATTACAGTGCAACGGAACAGAATTGAGAATGCTGAAGTAAACCTCATCAGTTAATTTTTGACAAAGATGCTATAACAACTGAATAGAGAAAAGATGTCTTTTCAACAAATGGTACTGGTATATCCACATGTAAAATGATGCATTTATACCTTTACCTCACAAAATTCACAAAAATCAACTCACAACTCACAACTACATCTAAATATAAAGAGTTAAAACTATAAAACTTAAAAAAGGAAACCTAAGTGTAAGTCACTGTAATCTTAGGTTGGATAAAGATTTTCTAGATACAATAACAAAAGCATAAACCATTAAAAAAAAA